CTATGCTCAACCCGGAACTTGCCGCCGTTTGGGCAGGGGGGTCAATGGCCTGCTGGGCGGTTGCCGCTCCTGGTGCGGCGGCAGGGGCCTTTGGCTTTGAACGGCGCGCACGTTTGGCTTTAGGCGGTGCCCTTGCAGGCGCTGAGGCGGCTTGGTTTTGGTTTGTGACAACGCCTTCATTGTCTGAGTAGCGGACCCGTGGCCTGCTTGGGTCACTTTGGCTGCGAGTGCTGACCATTCTGATTTCTATGTACCTCGTGTTTGAATAACTGAGATATCATTCATCGCAAGTTAGTCATGTATATCTCAACGCATGTGGTTTTTGGTCTGGCATACTATAAATCCGTAACTCGAAGTATACTTGGGTTCATGTGACGAATATATCCTGAAGTCCTTGCAACAAACAAGGTAATCCAGGTTCAGCAGATAAATGCCTGATGGAAACGGAAGATGAGACAACAGAAACCTCGTCCGCGAAAGATGAGCAAATGTTGTGATCAACCAAAAGCGTCGAAAGATGATAGAAGTTGTCAAATGCAGAAGTAAAAGACAATATGATCCAACTTGGCTTTCTTGTGAACGACCGGATGCGATAGAGACGTTGTCGAAGAGAATGTAAGGGGAAGGAATTCTTTACTTTGGCTTTATTATATAGACATCCAGGAGACCATTTGATCGCCTCCGTCTTTCTCTAAAACAAGCCTTTGCCATCTTTCATGATTGAAGTCGACTGCTTGTTCACGCCAGACCGCGGGTTACGCGATGAACAACCTCGCTTCCAATGTCAAGAGGCGCCAAATGTTTTCGTTGATGGCAACAAAAGCCTTTGAGGCAAAAAGTCAATGTGTAAATGTTGAACAGAGAGATGCTATGACGGTGAACGGTGATTTTTGACATTGTTTGACGCAGGGCAGTCTGAAATGAATGGATCTTCAATGGCTTTAGCAATTGACAATGATCACTCCTTTTTTGAAAATAAAAAGGAGTAAAAAGAAGGAAAAAAAGCTGGTTGTACCGCGAATCGAACGCGGGTTATGACGGAGCTGGAATTGAGTAACCACAACGTCATGTCCTAACCACTAGACCATACAACCTTATACATCAACGAAATTTGCCTTTTGACAATATAGACTAAGTACGGCATTTTGCCTCATTTTTCAAACAACGATGCCCCTATTCTCACGATTCTCATCATCGCCTGCTTTACCAGCCTTCCAATGGAACGTTCATCATGCCACCGTCTACCTGAATGTGTGGCAAGATATCGTTCTTGCGTAATTCAGTCTCAATTAATGCAGTTTGTACTCCGTATGTATATGCTGTTTGTAACATCGCAGACATATGCCCCTGAATACAATTTTGCAGTAAACTCCAAAACGCAAATCCCAATTCTAGCCACGAGAAATCCCCATAGATAATGACAGTCAGTTCATCTTTGACTAGAGATAAACAACCCATATGCAAATACAAATTTCAACCCGACACTGGGTTCCTATTCTCAGCAGCATTGGCCCTGACAACCCGATCAACCTCGTTTGTAGCACTTCTGTTGTCGGGTGCCGGACCCGCCCTCTTCAATTTTCCAAAGAGACACTGCCACAAATCATCTTCAGGGACTTGCTCTCCATCAGCAGCGGGATCCGTCAACTTTTGAACAAAATTGTCCTGCAGTTCAAGTGAGTTTGCAGAATCAAGAATCTCCTCCAGCTGCCCCTGCACCTCCCCGGCCCCTGACTTAGATTCGATCTTGCCAAGTTTGGACCTCGCTCTTCTTGCGATGTGCTCCATGCGGCGACGGACTGAGATGTCATAGATCGACTCCTCCACTGAGTCGTTGACGAGATACATCCACACCGTTGTCTCGCGTCTCTGTCCGATTCTGTGAATACGAGCGATGGCTTGCAATTCGATGGCGGTGTTGATCAGGGGCTCGCAGAGGAATATGTGGGTAGCGTTTGTCAAATTGAGGCCTGACGCCTGCGACTTTGAGTGGATCAGGATACATTCGGTCTAGATACGCAGTCAGTATATGCTTCGTTTTTTCGTCAAACAGGCCAAAAGCCAAACATATCAAAATTACTCACCGATGCATTTTTCTGGAAGGCATCAATGCCCCCACTACCATCAACCGTTGAATGGCCAATATTAAATTTGCGGAACGCACCTGCCAGCCTCATGATGAATGACCTGTACTGTGAGAAAACAACACTCTTCGATCCGGGATCATGCTGACGCAGCCATAACAAATGTTTGGCTATGGTGTCAATCTTTGTTCCGTACGAGTAATCAAGCCTCGTGGACATCACTTCATTCAAGACACCATGACTGACATTCGTATAGATCGGATTCTCCACAGCCAGTGACTGGCCAAGATTGTCAGGAGGCCGCTCCTCTTCAGCGACCAGCTCCCTGGGTTTGAAGGATATTGAGTGAGATTCAGTGGCTGTGAGTCTCCTTTTGCACGTGGGGCATGAGCGATGATTTCTCCACCAAAGATGATAACAATCATTGCAGTACTTGTGTCCGCAAACAGTGAGCACGCCGACCTCAATTTGAGACTGGCAAATGACACACATCCTCGAATCTTCATCGCCCTCCGAATCATCGCGCAGGTAGATGAGGTAGCGGTGTTTAGACCTCATCGATGAGATTTTAGACTCCAGTTGGTTCTCAGACTCGATGTGTCTGTTAAAGGCATATTCATCTAGGAATTTACCCTTTGTCTCCTCCGCATATGGAGCAACCATGTCCGAGATTTGTTGCAGCTGACGATAGAAATCAAGTCGCTTGTTCATCACACGCGTAAGAAAACGCACTTCCTGCTCCAGCCAAGGAGATACCTTCGACTGCGCCGTGTTGAGCTCAGCCGCCTGTGTCAACAGAGGCTTGAGGATGAGGATTTCCGCTTGTGCCCTCAGATTTCCCGCGATACTTTGCCAATCAAGAGAG